ATGAGGAGCGGCTGAGGGAGCTGGGGTTGTTTAGTTTGGAGAAGAGGAGGCTGAGGGGAGACCTTATTGCTCTCTAGAACTACCTGAAAGGAGGTTGTAGCGAGGTGGGGGTCGGTCTCTTCTCCCAAGTAACAAGTGATAGGACAAGAGGAAATGGCCTCAAGTTGTGCCAGGGGAAATTTAGCTTAGACATTAGGAAGAATTTCTTCGTGGAGAGAGTGGTTAGGCATTGGAACAGACTGCCCAGGGAGGTGGTACAATCACAGTCCCTGGAAGTATTCAAAAAACATGTGGATGTGGTTCTTAGGGACATGGTTTAGAGGTGGACCAGGCAGTTAGGTTAACAGGTTGGACTCGATGATCTTAAGGGTCTTTTCCAACCTTAACGATTCTATGATAAAAGGCACCAGTCCCAGATAACAAGTAAACCCATTCTGAAAGGTGAAGGTCTTAAAATCTCTTCCATAGGCAGTTACTCTGGAGTTTGTTTCAAAGTCCTTTGAAGTGAAGACCCATTCAATGGATATGCAGCATTTTCTAAGTGCAGTAAGGCGTACTACCGTGCAAGAGTGATTCCCTCCCCCCCCTCCCATCTCACACTGGCTTAAGTTCTGATATTTAGTAGGACTAAGTTCTGGCCCTGAAATTTTACTTCCTCTTTATTAATAAAATGAGAACAGAAATAATAGGCAAGCCAGCAGGCCACAGAGTAGAATGATGATAATTACAGCTAGAAAAATCTCAGTCTTACTTAGGTTCTATTAATAAACCAGGTTTTTGCCATTGCTCTATTTTTGATTAACTGGTTTAAAATGCAAGTTACATTAAAAAAAACTAAAACAATGAAGCAAACCACAAGTCAATTAAATAGCACATGACAAAACATATATCCTTCCAAGTCAGTTTACTTTAATGAAACCTTCCCTCTCACCTTCCTTAATGGATAGCTTAGCCCACAGTGGAGCCCTGGAAAATAAAAGCTACTTTTATTACCTTGTGTTGTGCTTATCTTCATATGGAATGTAGGTTGCCTTAAACAGACAGGAAGTTTGTCACAGTGTATTCTTCCAAAGTGAAAGTTTTGCCAATCACATTCCCTGAGTGAGCTTTACATGTGGAAGATAATATGCTATCTTTTTCTTTCATTGTTAAAGTCACCTTGCCCATCAAAAAAGTCAGTATGTGAGAGGTTTCTGAAATGTGACATTAGTAGTAGGGGGAAAAAAATCTCACCCTAGACCAGGCTCAGAGCTGCAGTACTCATATGGAGCATAAAGAGCATTAAGACTTAAGAGTTGCCTTTTGGTAGCTGGTTTGCTTACCTCAAAGAAAAGATCTTATAGAATCATAGAATGCTTTGGGATGGAAGGGACCTTTAAAGGTCATCTAGTCCATCCCCCCTGCAATTGGCAGGGACATCAACAGCTAAATCAGGTTGCTCAGAGCCCCATC